AATCACAGATACTCTAGAAATTGGACCTCATAATAGAACTGCTCTTTGGTTCATAGTATAAAGGAGTATGAAGTAACAGAGAGCAAGTAAATTTTTTCTAGAAATAATGCTCCCGTATGTCAGTCTATGTTTTTTTTTTTTTTTTTTAAGATTTATTTATTTATTTATATGAGCACTGGGTACAGTCAGAGGCGTGGGAGGGTAAGAGAATTCACCAGAGCCAGAGCGGGAAGCAGAACAGGCAGACTGACGAAGCATACTGCTGAGGGGAGCAGTGGGCGCGGCAGGAGAGGTCTGCATGCCATGTCCCTCTCCGGTGGCCGGGGATCCAACCAGTGCTGCAGAGGCTGTGGGCAGCTTCACAGCACAGTGCTCAACCGTTGCGCCACCAGGGGAGGCCCAATAACTCAGTTATTTTTAAGCAGTGTTATAATGTTAGTATGTCCATGAAAATACGATGTGATATTATATCTTGTCTGCATGTGTGCTTGGGATTGCTTCCCAGGCTAGCTTTCTTATCTTAATCCATATAATCTTGGAGTTTCTCCAATTGCTCCTCAGTGGTGGGGTGGTGGTAGTGAAGAGCTTATATTGCCCCTCATTTATGAACTCCAGAGAATATTTGTGTAACCTAAATATCATAGTCATTGGTAAACTTATATAAATTTATATATGGATTCAAAAATACACATACATCGTGTTTTTGTATTAAGGAGCATGAATATTCTCAATATCCTGCCGTTTTGAGACTAACTGAAAAATAGTAGTAAGTGAAAGTAATTCATCCAAATAGTAAAATCAAAGATATGTGTATAAGGATACTTACATTGATGCTTTAAAAATAAAAGCAAAGAAAATGAAGGTAAACATTAAATGGGGCTCTTGTAAATTTGTAGAACATTTCTTATTTTTAAAAACCCTTAAATTAGAAGGACTGTATATAGCCACATTTATCAGAAAGCATTTGCATATGTAATGCATTTTGGTATTTGGCGAGCACTTTCTATTTTTGAGGCTGAAAGGTAGTTCATGTCAATAATCCCTAGACATCTAACTAACTAGATGGGCAAAACTAATCAGGCCAGTCTTCTGAGTGTCAGAGTACTTTCCAGATGTTGGTTGGGAAGAGTGGTCACGTACCTGTATAGTGAGGTTATCTTTACTCAGGACTTTAACAGACAACAAAATTATTAGTTGAGAAAAATTTTCCTCATTATGTGGAATGAGCAATATTGACATTGCTAAGCAAATCAACATTAGCATATACACAGTGGGCTGCAGTCTGCACAGATATAACTGCCATACAGCTTTGGAGTTTCCGGTCTTACCTTAGATTCTCAGAATTATTGATGATATTGCCAAGAATTGGATAGTTAATGTTTTTTGCCCTCGTTCTGAACTCATTCTTTGTTT